CGTTCCTCTTGTGATAGCCCTTTTATGCCTTGCAACATTGGATTCATCACTTGATTAGCTTCCTCTTGTAACACTTAATTTATGTTTGCGGATTTTCCAAACATCTATACGGTTCCACATTGACATCCCTGAACCAAATAGTCCTGATATGGATCCCAGACCTCCCAGCGGGTTTAAGCTACGTTTTTGCCTGGAGGTATATGATTTTGTTTTATTATCTACCCCCAACATTAATACGCCTCGTGCTTGTTGCTGATAAGTTACAATCTTATCCACGAGTACTGAGAAAAAGGAAGCTACTTTGGTATGTTTGAAGTATTCAAACTCCCCTAGACGCCAGTTGGACAAGTTTAACACCACAGGAATATGCATAAATCGAACTTGATTAATTAATACACCAAACATGGGCGTTGTGGTGAGACCACTGGCTGGTCCTGGGTTTGTTGCTGGACTAATCAATACATCACCAATAGTGTTGTCATAGTCATAGTCAATTATTGGATTGCGGACCTTAAGTTCAAAAGTCATCTTCAATATGTATTTCTTATCTCCCAATTTAGTTTGAAAGGTAGCTATGAGACAGACTTCATATAGCCCTTCATCTTCATATTCTACTTTGTGTAAAGTTAGATTTCCTTGGTTACAGAGTTTTCACAATTAGCCTTGTGTTTCCAATCCCCATAGGGAAATCCATGTCTGAGGGATGTGGAATTGGTTAATGTGAAGATATAGGTGTTACATCCTCCCCGCTTTGACTCCTCATCTGATGGCTGAATTTTTTTCCCAACCACTTGATGGCAGTGATGTCACCCCTGTTAATTGATACTTAAAGGTGACTTCTTCCCCTCTAATTCCTGTAATGTACTGGATTGGATGGTTGCTGAATTCAGGATGGAGATCCAAATTTACAATTTCTGGAAACTCATTTACGTGTGGTGGTTGAACAATTAATTTAGTATGGCTCTACCAAATGCAATTATTAGGCAATGGTTGGAGAATTGTACAAATTCCCGCTCTATATCTGTCGGACATATATGTGGGTACATGATGTATTTTGAATATTGTATCATTAGTCCAGGAGGATAGTTTGGTCCGCCGTTTTATCGCTGTGACCAATTTTCCCTGATTTTGTTTGTATTGCTAACTTATGATTTCCTTGTATCCTTTTGACTTTGAATCATGTGAAGGTGAAAATCTAGTCTCCTCTTTCCAACTCCAAACAATATTCACCATCGCATCAACACTTAAGATGTTTACAAGATGTGGGAATGAGTCCGTAGAGCCATTTTCCAGCAAATTGGCATATAGCTTTGAAGTAAGTTCAGTGGTTCATTCAGTCTCTGTTGGTGGTGCGATACGTTTCAAATGTTCAAATACCTGAGTGTGGAGGCGTCATTGGGTATTATGGTCCTGGGCAGTCTTGATTTTGGCTTAGTCCTACCCTCAGTGCAAAGATGAATGAGTAGCAGATCAGAAATCTCAATGTCCATTTCATGACTGCAATCTTCTGAACTCTGATTACGGGGGGTTTTAGGAGACGATTCAGCTAGCTCCTGGGAAGCAAGCTGCTCCTGGGACCTAGATGATTGATATAGCTTTAACTGATTAGCGTGGTAGATTTTATCTTTAGTACGCTTGCCTCCTGTTACTCTAATCTTGTACACTGCTGAACTGAGTTTATCCATGATTCAGAAAGGTCCAATCCACCGATTACACAGCCTGTGCTTTGTAGGATAACAGCATTACTAGATCACCAACCTCGCAAGTATTCTCTCTTTGGGTTTTATTGAAGTAGGCCTTCGCCTTGGATTTTGATTTCCCCAATTTTGCGGCTACCTGCAGATGGATCTGATTTAAATGTTCCTGCAGATTTTGTAGGTAGATATCCACACTCTGGCATGACCACTAGTGGGCAACCCAACTCTTGTCCTACAGTAAGACACAATGACTGATTAGCCAAATCAATAACGCATTCCTGCCTACCTAGGAAATCAGACCCCAACAGATTTACTTTTTGGGTCTGACAATGTGAGCAACGCAAAGACATGGGTCTTGCGCAGGTGACCAATTTGTCCTTCGATGGGTTTAGATAGCATGGCCATAACTTGGTAGTTTACAAATGTTGATAATATCTTTGTTTTCCCAGATGCCAAAACAGAGGATCTAGGATCCTTCACATGAATTATACTGATTGCTGCTCCAGTATCTACAACAAAATTTAGGTGGCGGCCCCCTACCACTAAAGATATCGTGGGTCTTCAACTTGCATCTCTTCCCAAAGAGGTTGTGATGCTCCTTGGGGCCAACTGGCATCATGCGAAGTAATCTATGGGATGGATAGGCGGGTTGCCTTCAGGATCTTCCATCTCCAACTCCTCAGGGGTAGCCGACCCTGCTTGAGAATAAGCCACCCAATCAGGAGGAGGGCTTGAGTCCATAGAGGCCACTGGTTGGTTTAAAGGATTTGGACATTGATCTCCCAACACCAACTCATTCAGACGTGTCCAGAGTTCTCGGATATCCTAGCTGCACTGCCTTGAACATAGACACCACTGAGAGGTCCTCCTTCTGACGAGGCGGTGGGGATCTAGAACCCTGAGGATAAGAAGAGTTCTGTGCAGCACCTGCAAAAAAAGGAACACTATCTCGAGGCCCTCTTTGGGGTCCAAATGCATACCCTTGTCGATTGTTTCGTGAATTGTAATTATTGGCCCTGCGCTGAGATTGAGGGGACCTAGGATTCATCCGGTTCTGCCCTTGAGGTGCCCTGGTAGGACCCTCAATCCTTACTATAGGAATAGACTGTGGCTCTTGTAGGGTTGCAATTGGGGCTCCACGTTGACCTGCTTTAGGGTTTCCCTGGATATGGCCCTTGGCCAGCAAATCCAGGGCCTCCTCCAGAGAGGTCCCATCATGGATAAGCATGTTAACCATTTCCCTTAAATAGGGAAGAGAATTATTAACCAACAAGCTAACATACTGTGTATCCTCTGTGTCCTCTTTTATGTGACTGCGCCAGGTTACACTTAACCAAAGATGAAATTGGTGGGGAGACTCATTTGGCTTTTGCTTCAAATTAGACAGGATAGCCACTCCAGTTTGTCCAGGATGCTGATTACACTCAAGCACGGCCACTGTTTCTGAAAAAGACTTTTCGCCCTTCCTAAACTCCGGGAGCAAAGTGCTCCATAAGGCTCGATTTACTGTAAGCTGTAAGATTTTAACCCAATCATCACTTGGCAAACCAAATATTTGTGCTGTTTCCTGAATCCACTGTGCTTATACTGCAACATATCCTAAATTCCAAGGAATTAATACTGATAAAATATAAGAATAAAATGGATTAATTTCAGAAAAAGAAACATTAATTGATACCGCTGGCTGGATTAGTAGGATATAATAGCTAGCAAAATAATCCTATGGGGTACAACTATAACTTTCGTGAAAGTTAATGTTTGACTGAGACTACAAACTACATTTTGTTTTTCCAACTCTGTCACAGACTTTCTGTATGATGATGGGCAAGTCACTTAATTTCTCTATCCCTCAGTTCCCCATCTGCAAAATGAAAATACAATTATTTCCATTTCTCACGGGGGTGATGCAAGAGCGAATTAATATTTCTGGGGTAGTCAGATACCATTGTGAGTGCCATAGAAAAAAGCAACAAAGAGTCCTGTGGCACCTTATAGACTAACAGATGTATTGGAGCATAAGCGTTCGTGGGTGAATACCCACTTCGTCAGACGCATGTGACGTATACACCCACGAAAGCTTATGCTCCAATACATCTATTAGTCTATAAGGTGCCACAGGACTCTTTGTTGCTTTTTACAGATCCAGACTAACATGGCTACCCCTCTGATAGAAAAAGGTTGGCTTGTAACGAAAACCTTAGCTCTTTTCGAATGTATGCATTAAAATACTGTTGATTTACATGATTCCATACCAGTTCTCAAATAATATAATGTATATTATTACATGGTTATTTTTATACCTGCTATAGGATATCAGTTATATTTTTTTCAGTTATTGTCAGACATGTGTCTGAATAAATTTCAGACTCGGGGAGTAGGTCTGGGAATTGTTAAAATAATGTGCTTCCAATAACCATAAGGTTCTGTATACCCCAAAAGAACACACACCTGCCTTCTTTTTTACCCTGTCCACTTCTGCAAATTTTATTGTGGAAGAATCCTGAACTGAATAGGAATAAAGAAAAAACAAAGCTTTAAGCATGTGAAGAATCCATTACCAGGAAATGCTGACTTTTCTGCTGTCAAGAAGAGAATGCTCTGCGTCATTGCTAGGCATTACTTAAATAGCATAGTCCATGATTAAGGTGTTTTTGCTTGCTTAGAACTTGCTTTCTGACTAATTGCAGGGTGTTTCTGATTTTAGGGTGTTGGGGTAAGAAGCAGGAGAACAAAACCAGCCCACAGTTTATGTGTGTCTCTCCATATTCCAGGGGGTTTAAGAAGTTTTTACATAGCACTTCACAACAAGGTGGAAAGTGGGGTTAGGTGTAGGCTTGTGGTTTGGACATGGGACTGAAATTCAGGAGATGGAAGTTTTTCTCAGCTCTGCCTCTGTCTTGTTGTTTGACCTTAGGCAAATCATTTATGATTTCATTTTCAAAGGTGTTCGAGCACTTGCGGTTCCCATTGACTTCAGTGGGATTTGTGGACCACAGCATTTCAGAAAATTAGGGTGTTCTAGCTCTCTGTGCTCCAGTTCTCTTCCCCCCCCCCCCCCCCCGCCTTCTTTATCTCATAGGCGTAGTAAGGGTGAATTTATTCATATTCACAACACTCTCTCAGATCCTCAGAGAGAGAACGCTATAGAATTTACCAATAATTCTCATGTAATTATTTTTTAATATAATGATCCATAGAAATGTCCTAATGTGTGCTTATTTTGAGGCATATGTTTTGTTTTTGTTTTCTATCTTAATAGAGTACTATTGAAGTAAAAATACTCTTGTTTTTGTTTTGTTTTAGCTGAAGGGGTCAGAACTAGAAATCACACTTGTCAGAGGAGGCTTACATCATCGTGTTGACCCAGCCTGTGCTTATGTCAATCTCAACATCTGTATTAATGGTACAGAGCAAGGTAGGAGATTTTTGTTTTAACTAGACATATTTAATGTTTCAGAGCCATCACCACATAAGATGGATTAAGGAATAATATGATAGATAACAGAACGAAGAGGTTATGTGCACAAGGTGTTGCTGACTTCCTTTACATAGTAGTTGTAAATAGTATTTGATAAAGGATTATTGAGGAAATCTAACTTTCACTGTTATAACTAAGTCTTTAAATGAGAGATGATACTCAACTGGGTGAAAAAAAATAGTGTGTATAGTGCTTTTTAATTTATGTATATAACACTACATGCACAAACAACAAAGAGTCCTTGTGGCACCTTAGAGACTAACAAATTTTAAGGTGCCACAAAGACTCCTCGTTGTTTTTGCTGCTACAGACTCACACAGCTACCACTCTGAAACGACATGCACATAATGTTTTACAAAAGGGATAGTGCCCTGCTGAAAGAGTTGACAACCTAAGTATCCAACCCAGAAATCATTTTACTACAGTGTGTAGCACATAGTGCTCTGAATATCCAAACGAACTACTCAGAAGTAAGCGTTATGCTTGTTGATAAATATATTGCAGGATTGGATGCTAAATTAAAACAAGAATGGGGGTGTAGCAGGTGGCCTGTGCCTGAAAGAGCCTGCAGAGTCAGGGAGCAGCAAGCTCTTGCCTAAGGAGAAGAACAACCAGCAGGTGATGGAAACTAGCTGATCCAGTTCAGCAGCAAACATTGACTCTGAATAGATTCCCAGGATGATTTCCCAAATCAGAAGAGAGACAGCCACATTCTCGTAGCTCCATACTTACTAAGGCAGTTTCGACTGTTTGACCTACTGCAGATGTCCATTCAAGCACGGATCCAGCTCCTGGACTGTTGAGACCAGATCTCCCAACACCACAGCCAGATACTCCACTCAGACATGAGGGCATGACAGTTGGCTGGTACCATAGACAAGGACTGCTCCCTGCAGGTCCAGGAAATCCTGACAGAGAGCAGGAAATATTTAACCAGAAAGACTTAATCATCTCAATGTGAGTGGTTTTCAATATGGATAGCCCAACATGGTCTGACTCTGATTCAGACCTCAATACCACAGATCTTTGACTACCTGTTGCACTTAAGAGATTGGTATTTCACTTCTAAGGTCCAACTTGCAGCAATTTCACCTTGACATCCTCTGATACAGTCATGCTCTGTCTTTTCTCATCCGATGATGACAAAGTTCCTCAAAAGGCTGTTACATACTTACCCACAGATCAGAGAACCTACTTCTGCCAAGAACTTCAGCATAGTCATCCTGAGGTTCATAGAGCCTCCTTCTGAACCTCTTTCACAATGTTCCTTATATCATTGTGCTGACTCTGAAGACGGTCTTCCTCATGCTGGTCACTTTGGCCAGGAGTGATTGAGCTTCAGATGCTTGTGACTGAACCCCCTATACAACATTTCAAAGAGACAAAAGGGTACTAAAATCTGACCTGAAATTCATTCCCAAAGTAGTTTCAGACTTCCAATTAAACCAATCAATCAACCTATCTTTTTCCTGAAACCACACTCTTCACCAGGAGAAAAGTTGCCTGCACTAGTTGTGTCCAGGACTTTGCTTTGTGACATTAATAGGAGCAATCTATTCAGACTGTTGCAGTGTCTATTTCCAGCTATAGCTGGGCATTCTGAAGGTCAGGCCATCTCATCACAGCAACTTTCAAAATGGATAATGTGATGTATCTCACTGTGTCACCTGTTGATTGGAGTTGGCTTTCACCCAGAACATCCAGGCTCCCTCTAGTGGCATCCTCCGCCTGCTTCAGAAATGTAATAATACAGTATGAGAAATCTGCAAAGCGTTGATGTGGAGTAACCCACTGGACCTTTGTCTAACATAGTGCCTTGGATTTAGTTGATAGGTCAAACTCTCAGGAGAGCAGGACTACAATTCCTATTTGACTGATGCAGCTGGAACTCCTCATTCCCACTGTCTTGAGGGGATACTCTTTGTGAGTCACCTACGGTGGGATCCACCCTAACACATACTCGAAAGGATGGTTACTTATGCTTAAGGCTGCAATTTAGTCATAGAGGTCGCGGAAGTCACGGAATCGGTGACTTCCAGTGGCCTCCGTGACTTCAGCCTGTGGTGGTTGGGAGCTGCAGGGTTTCCCACTGCCTGCTGTGGCAGGGAGTTGTGGTACCCCCGGCAACTCTGGCGGCCCCTGGAGCTCCAAGCCCCCGCAGGTGGTAGGGATACCCCGCAGCTCCCTGCCACCGCCACTGGCGGGGGTATCCCGCAGTTCCCAGATGGTGGCGGCAGGGGAAATATATGGCAGAATGCAGATAAAGCCATAAGAATGGCCATACTGGGTCAGACCAAAGGTCCATCTAGCCCTGTATCCTGTCTTCCAGCAGTGGCCAATGCCAGGTGCTTCAGAGGGAATGAACAGAATAGGTAATCATCAAGTAATCCATCTACTGTCACCCATTTCCAGATCCTGGCAAAACCACAGAGCTGGAGACATACAATTCTCCCTCAAGGAATTCAGTCACAAATTTAACTCTTTTTTTTTTTTTTTTAACAAGCATCATCAGCTGGAAGCATGTCCTCTGGAATAGTGGTCAAAGCATGAAGGGGCATACGAATGTTTAGTATATTTGGCATGAAAATACCTTGCAATGCTGGTGTGATGGGTTGGACCCCACCCTTCCAGAGTGCCACCTGATATGCTGGGGTCCCACTGAGCCTGCCTGTCCCACTAGCCTGGGTTCCCCTTACTCTGTGCTGCTGTGACAGGCTCTCAAGCTCCCTTCCAGCATACACACAGGTAGGGACACACCCAGCTGTAGAATCACACAGAGTCTGCAATCAGCTCTGTGTGGGAAGACTCAGTTCAGGGAATTGCCCAGCACGCTGGTGCACACACCCTCTGGAGTGTAAACCCAAAATTATATTGTCTTGTATTGTATAGAGATATATACAGCGTAAGCTCATGAAATTCGCCACTCCCTCAATGTGGAGGAAGATATGCACAGCTTTTTGCCCCTTCCCCCCGCCCCCCAATTATGAATTGCAAAAACTGGGTTTAGAATAAACAAAAAAAAACCCAACAAGTTCATTAACTACAAAAGGTAAATTTTAAGTGATTATAAGGGATAGCAAACAGGACAAAGCAGATTATTGAGCAAATAAAACAAGACATGCAAACTAGGCTTAATACATTAAAGAAATTTGGCTACAAATAGTAAAGTCTCACCCTAAATGTTGTTTGATGCAGGTTGCAGAGTTTCTTGAAGGTAAACTGCACTGCTTGCAGCGTAAATCTCCAGGGATTCCTTTTACAGGCTGACCTTTCTCACCTGGGCTCAGCCCCTGGCCCCCCTCATCTTAGTTCCTTTGTTTCTTCTGATGTTTTCAGCAGCCTTTCTTCCTGGGCAGGGAGGCAGTGGAGAAGAGCCAAGATTAACTCACTCTCCAGCCTTAAATAGGATTTGCATATGTCAGGAATTCTTTGTTTCCCATCCTGTGGAAAAATACCAGCATTTTAAGATAGTATCCAGTACCAGGTGACATGATCACATGACCCTGCAGTGTCAAAGCAGCATCCCAAGAAACGTCTCAGGAGGGAGAGAGATTAGTATCTTCAAAGTCCTGTTGTCCTTCCTAATGGCCCATCCAGGCTGATTGCATATTGTCTGGTGGGCGTTCCCCAAGTACACACACAGTTGTAATTGTTACATAGTCAATATTTCTAACTTCAGATACAGAAATGATACATGCATACAAATTGGTTAATCACATTCAGTAAATCATAACCTTTCTAATGATACTTCACCTGACCCATCTTGCATAAAACATATCTTAGTTATGCCATATTCATATCATAACAATATTTCTATGAAGAATATGGAGTGTAATGTTAGAGCCGGTTACAAAAGTGCCACACGAACAGCTGTGCTCACTTTCAGGTGACGTAAATAAGAAGGGGGCAGGATTATGTTCCATAAATATAAACAAACTTGTTTGTTTTAGTGAATAGCTGAACAAGAAGTAGGACTGAATGTACTTGCAGGAGCTGATGTTTTACATTGTTTTGTTTTTGAGTGCGGTTATGTAAAAAAAAATTTGTACATTTGTAAGTTGCACTTTAACAATAAAGAGATTGCACTACAGTACTTGTATGAGGTGAATTGAAAAATACTATTTTTGTTAAAAGAACAGGAGTACTTGTGGCACCTTAGAGACTAACAAATTTATTTGAGCCTAAGCTTTCGTGGGCTAAAACCCACTTCATCGGATGCATGCAGTGGAAAATACAGTAGGAAGATTATATACACACAGAGAACATGAACAATGGGTGTTACCATACACACTATAACGAGAGTGATCAGTTAAGGTGAGTTATTATCCGCAGGAGAGAAAAAAATACTTTTTGTAGTGGTAATCAAAATGGCCTATTTCCAGCAGTTGACAAGGTGGTGTGAGGAACCGTAGGGGGGAAAAATAAACATGGGGAAATAGTTTTACTTTTTGTAATGACCCATCCACTCCCAGTCTTTATTCAAGTCTAATTTAATGGTGTCCAATTTGCAAATCAATTCCAATTCAGCAGTCTCTCGTTGGAGTCTGTTTTTGAAGTTTTGTTGTTGTAATATTGCGACTTTTAGGTCTGTAATCGAGTGACCAGGGAGATTGAAGTGTTCTCCAACTGGTTTTTGAATGTTATAATTCTTGACGTCTGATTTGTGTCTATTTATTCTTTTACATAGAGACTGTCCAGTCTGGCCAATGTACATGGCAGAGGGGCATTGCTGGCACATGATGGCATATATCAGATTGGTAGATGTGCAGGTGAACGAGCCTCTGATAGCGTGGCTGATGTGATTAGGTCCTGTGATGGTGTCCCCTGAATAGATATGTGGACAGGGTTGGCAACGGGGTGTGTTGCAAGGATAGGTTCCTGGGTTAGTGTTTTTGTTGTGTGGTGTGTGGTTGCTGGTGAGTATTTGCTTCAGGATTGGGGGCTGTCTGTAAGCAAGGACTGACCTGTTTCCCAAGATCTGTGAGAGTGATGGATCGTCCTTCAGATAGGTTGTATATCCATAATGATGCACTGGAGAGGTTTTAGTTGGGGGCTGAAGGTGACGGCTAGTTCTGCCAACTCTGTCCACATATATATATATATATATATATATATATATACACACACACAGCACCATATATATATATAATAAAAAAAATCTTCCTACTGTATTTTCCACTGCATGCATCCGATGAAGTGGGTTTTAGCCCACGAAAGCTTATGCTCAAATAAATTTGTTAGTCTCTAAGGTGCCACAAGTACTCCTGTTCTTTTTGCGGATACAGACTAACACGGCTGCTACTCTGAAACCTATTTTTGTTGATCTTTTTAACGGTGCAATTATTTGTGATAAAAATAATATAAAGGGAGCACTGTACACTTTGTATTCTGTGTTGTAATTGAAATCAGGGCCGGCTCCAGCATTTTTGCCACCCCAAGCCAAAAAAAAAAAAAAACACGAACCCGGTCGGGGCCGGGGATTGAGAAAAAAAAAAAAAAAGCCGTGATCAGCGGCGGCAGTTCAGCGGCAGGTCCTTCGCTCCTAGAGGGAGTGAGGGACCTGCCACCCCTGAATTGCCGCAGGTGCCGCCCCTCTCCCTTGGCCGCCCCAAGCACCTGCTTGTTATGCTGGTGCCTGGAGCCGGCCCTGATTGAAATCAATATATTTTAAAATGTAGAAAAATATCTAAAATATTTATTATAAATTTCAATTGGTATTCTGTTGTTGTTTAACAGTGTGATTAAAACTGCAATTAATCACAATTAATTTTTTTAATCCAGTTAATTTTGTTTTGAGTTAATTGCTTGAGTTAACTGTGATTAATTGACAGCCCTGGAAATAATGCATTCACAACTATCTGGTGGCGTTCTAGGGCTCAGATTTGGTTTTATTCAGTGATATCACCCATAGCAGTGAAATATATGTTCCATAACCTAAGCTGTGGTACTCACTTGACTGATGCCTGATAGGGAAGTACACTAATAAATCCAATACAAGATTAAACATTGTTTTTGAAGACTTCCGTTCTTTAAAGTGTATAAGATTTTTCTGAGTTCAAATATGCTGTCAGTCTCCAAGGGACACAGAGATTCATCCTGAGAGGAGCATACCCAAAATGCCAGCTGGGATATTGCAGCTCCCATAAGATACTGAAAATAATTGGATTTTGGGTATTGAACTATTTTGTTTTTGAAATGATGGCAGTATTTTGAGGTGATAGCTTAAATCTCCCTTTAAAGGTCTCTGAGAGGGTCTTTTGTGTTTTAATTGAACTTAAATTCTAAATTTGTGATGGAACACCGATTTAACTTTTACTGTATTCATGTTGACACTTTCTTAATAGAAATCTGTAGCATAAAACAGTGTCTGTATACAGGGCAAAATACCGTATGTCTATAGAGCATCACTATTTAGGACTTTACCCTCTATGTGCTTAGAAGAGTGATCAAGCTGCCAGTTAATTGTAAACCACTCCTGCATTTGGCACATCAGTTACTTTCACTTAATTTCAAATATAATGCTCCATGCCATCATTGAATATATACATAAATAATTGATTTGATTTGATTTGATTATAGTCTCTTTATTTAATTTGCATGCATGTACATCTCCCTGGTAGATTAATATGCAAACCAATCTCCTGCATGTGCTAGATTTTAATGAGTGCATATTGCATTTAATATACATTCAATGTATATTTTTGGGTTGTATATTGATTTATCCAATACAATATAAAACATTTACACACAGGATTTTGATGTAGCAAAGGAGCACATTTGTATTTACATTTTTCAAGAAATACCCAAATTGTCTACATCGCATACAAATAAGTATGTCTCTGTACTGTTATTTTGTTAATAAGATGGCATCATGCATAAATATTTGCTTCCTTTTAAGATTTAAATTTCTGTCAAAATGTATAGGATTATTGCAGTTGATTAAAGCTACTGAAAGACACCCACACAAATTCTTCAATGGAGATTAGATTTCTTTTAACTAAACCTATCCAGAAACAGGGTTTTTTTCCCCTCTTTATAATGGGCTTAATTTAAGAAAAGAGGAGACCCATAGTTCATATTCCTGGGATAAAGAAATGTGAGAGACATTTTTTTCATTCACTATAATCAGTTTTGGTTTTACATAATATAGCAAACCAATTCTAAGTAGTTCATCATTGCAACATACAAACTCATTTCTTAAATTACATTTTAATTCTTCATTTTTGTTTTTATTTTTAGATGGTGTGTTGCTGTTGGAAAATCCAAAAGGAGATAATAAATTAAACTATACTAAACTTGTAGATGCTGTGTCCTGCATTTTTGGCCTTAAAAATTCAAAGCTGTCAGTTTTCAATGGAAAATCAGGTACATGGTGTTTGAGGATGAAAGCTGAGGAAGTGCATACAGTAGCAATTCAGTTGATTTTCAAAGAATGTCATTGGCAGCTTGTATCATTTATTGTATCATCTTCTCAGATTGTGTGTATGAAGTTTCTAAAAAAGAGCTCCTGGGAAGTATGCCCAGTATTCTAGGGCTGATTTTTACTAAGCATATGAGAATGTGTTTATAGATAGTTTACAGTTATAAACAATCTAAATGGTTTTAAAAGTTCCTGTTAAATGGTGTTCATCACTTTTGTTATGCTATCCATTTCCAATTTGTATTTCTTTTTCAGTTCTCATTAGGATGAAATTTCATCTATTTCAGAAAGCATTTTCATCGTTGGCAAGCTGCCATGAAATATAGTTGCATGATTTTGCAAATACACTAATAGATGGAGTTAGAACTTAAATTGAGTACAAACTGATTTTCCTTTTTAGTCAGATTCTTTGCTGTTGCCATACTTTTGTATTTTACAGCAGAGCAGTTTGAAGATCTCCAGACTTCTTCTGTTAGAGAACAGTTTATTTTGAAAATATTTTTGTAGGATTGAATTTGTGTTCAGACTCTGTAAACAAATGAAAATGTAAAGTGCACTTTATGGGTTATGTACAGAGCACACATAATTTAGCAAGCATAACAGAGATAAAGTGACTGATACAACAGAAACTAAACACTGAAAAATGTTGCAATTCGTGACCATGATACCTTAGCAAACAAACTAGCTTTATTTTCTTGTCTCTGAGATCAAGATTCTGTTTTATGATAAGATTACATTTTGTATTCTGTTGTATTAGAATTAAGGGACAATTGATTGGCTGGTAGTGTAAAGACCCTAAGTAACCAAACCACTCAGTGAATAAATCAAAAAAGAGAAAAGAAGTGGCTGCAGCAAAGTAAAAACTTTGATTAGCAAGAATTGGAAATTTATTTTTATAGTATATTAGTGAGTTCTTTATAGACATGTCACCTTGAGTAGTATTGCTCTAGAGAGTTTTAAAAACTGAAGCATTTAAAGTTAATATGGATTCTACAAATTAGACTATTCAAGGTTCAACAGGCGTGGATATAAAGGAAACCTGAAGACAGTGTTTGCAAAATTGACAGAGGTCAATGGTTATGGAAAGCTTATTTTGTAGCTTTAAAATACAAGGGGGAGATGGAGGTAATAATTTGATCATTGTGAATGGAAAGTATGAACAGTTGCCTTAAAATTCCTACAGGGCTATTAGGAGCAGAAGTTTGTACCCATACATTACATCACTGGACCAGTAACTTGCCTTAGACCTGTATCCCCACCATTTTTTTTTCTTACATTTTTGCCTTTCCTGTTTCTCATTCCCTGAAAAAATATTTTTATCTTCATGTCTTTAGTAGAATGTCTTTGGGGTACCCACACTGAGCCTCTCTATCTGACACACTCCATTTGCCTTATTCAGCTTGTTAATAGCCAGAATGCTTAAAGCGGTTGGTTGCACAGAACCAAGTGGAATATTTCTACCATATGAAAAGAGTACTCTGCTGTTCAGGATTGCTTAACAAGACCATCTAAAATAAAGTTGGCTGTGGAAGAAAACCTTTCCTTAAAATAATTTTCCAAATAGCAGCAATGTGGTGTATTTGGAACTAGAACAAAATCAAAGTAGTCTGGTGTGAAGTTGTAGAGATAAGTAGTCGGTAGAACCATAGTTTACCAGAATGCCCTTCCCCCCCGCTTCACATCCTATAGTCTGAGGTGGTTGTGCGGGCTTTGTCTGGGTCAGCAGAGGAAGGAAAACCCTTGGCTCCTTCAAGGATTGTGCCTGCCTCTGGGCTTGAGGAGGGGGGCTCTGTGGCTGATTGGTTGGACAGAAGGGTGCAGCATTCTGTTTGCTCCCAAGGGGAGGATTTATAAGCCCTTCCCCTTGTCCAAGGGTACCATTCTGCTCAGGGAAGATACCCTCTCCCCATCTCTCCACGATATTAAGGTAGGGCTGGGTTTTGTGGCATTGCTCTGGGCATCGTGCTAACTGCCTTTTTGGAGTTAGGAAGGAATTTTTCCCTCACTGCCAGATTGGTCTGGATAGGGTGGGTTTTCTTGCCTTCCCTTCAGGGACATGGTGGGTAGGTTAGACTGTAAAATTAATTTTGTTGCTACTTGACAGGAGTCCAATTAAGGTGATTGTTCAGTGATGGGTCTGGTATCTCCTAAAGAAGGTGGGGAATGGGGTTGGGGCACCTTATGTCTTGTACAGCAAGGACACAGCCCTCTCTTCCCCAGACACTTAACCCTTGTATGAGGCGAGGGTGGTGGGGCCCCAGGACAATAATGGGATCGAGGAGGGTGAGGGCTAATAGCAGCCTTCAACCAGATGGAATAGGTTACAAAGAAAGGATGACCTGAACTGGACAAGTTATTGCTGGATAATTCTCAGATGTGTTCCTTAATGAAGCTGTGGTCTAGTTAAATCACATTCTTGATATCTAGTCTTTCTTCCTGTGGTGTCTGGGACAAAGGGCCTCAGCAGAATGAAGCTGACAGCCATTTAAAATGAAAAGTATTTTTTTTAACAGTTAAGATAAAATGTACACATTGTGCAGTTGTGGATAGGCTAAATTTTTGCCCCTTGGGGGGTGGTTTGGCCTAGAATGAGAAGGACTGTGGTTTTGGGAAGTCCATCTTACTGCCAGTCCCAGTTGAGTGGCTGTGCTTTCCTACTACAAACCTCAGCTCTCAGGCTGAACTGAAGGTTTTTTAAAAGCTTTAATATTGATGTACAATGACGGTTTGTGATTTTTCACACTTTTTCACAAGTATGTGACAATATTGGATTCTGTCTACTCTGAAAGACTGAAGGAAAAAAAAAAAAAGGAAATGGTGACAATGTTGCAGATGGAGAGTTGTCTCTGTGTTGACATGGCAATGGCCCTGTGATGCAAAATACTAGAGTTACTTGAAAGATAAATCACAGTTTCTGTCACTCATGCTTGTCCACCTCCTAGTTGGATTATTCCAGCTATCCAGTATTACTGTGAGCTCCTTGGGCCATGTCTCTTACTTGTTCTGTAAAACACCTTGCACATTGAAGGTGCTATATAATTAATACATAGTAATCATGAGTTTAGTGCATGGCAGTGCTAGGCACAGCTGCTCTAGCTTCATGCAGCTTAAAAATAACTGCTGCTAGGTCTCTCTACGTTATAAATTCTTTTCACTAAGTATTGTGCATTAGTGACTTGATTTTTTTTTTCTGCTTTGTTTGAAAAATAACTGTTAACCCTCTAGAGACAGCAGACACATACACATGTAAACACATCCCCTTCAGCATTCAGTTTGCTGGAATATGCGAACATAAAATTTAAGTTTAGCTTTTATCTGGCCCTTTATTCCTGAAATCTGCCAGTTTCATGAGAAACCAGGGAATTTTGTGCATTTCTTTATTGCCTAATGATCTTGTGGAATATTTTGTTTCCTTATATACTTGCTGTTGCATCAAATATTCCCCCTGATCTTTGGAGTAAGATGTACCATACCATTAGTTCCACATTAAAATGAAATGAAATGAGCCGACAGAAGCAATACACTTGTTGGAACATATTAACCAAGAGGAATACAGCTGAAGGTGCTGTGTCATCACCAAGTGGTGAGGGTCATTGGTAAGGTTTGTCATTGTCTGATTCAGCATTTTGAAGGGAAAACTTAGCCATATCAGCTTTAGTGAAGTCCACTGACTTAGTGTTCTAAATTATTTATCCCTTCTATGGTCTCATTTTACCAGTGTCAGGATGTTTTAGTATCTTAAAATCTTTGGTTTTTCAGTTAGTGGCTTAGTTGGGAAAATACTTTTTTGTTCCAAGTGTTATACCCATAAGCTTAGATATTTACTGTGAGTAGCTGAAAGCCCATGCTGTCTCATAGGTGTAATTTTAAAGTTATATATGATATTTTAAAGCCAAAAATGGCTGAGAACTTTAAATAATTGGATAGTAACAGACCATGAAGCCCAGTGATGTTTGAACCTGGTGATGTTCTAAGCAAAAAGAGTTCACAACCATGCTTGTAGCTCAAGGGTTCTCCTTTTTTTTTTTTTTTTTTCTGAGCCCCTCCCCTCACTCTCCCCCTCCCCCCCAACATGCAATAAAAATTCCATGGCCCACCTGTGCCACTGTTTTTCACTAGATTAAAAGCCAGGGCTGGCATTAGGGGGTAGCAAGCAGAGCAACTGCCCAGGGCCCCATGCCACAGTGGGCCCCGTGAAGCTAGGTTGCTTGGGCTTTGGCTTCAACTCCGAGGAGCAGGGCTTGGGATTCAGCTTTCTTCCCTGGGCCCCCGTGAGTCTAACGCTGGCCCTGCTCTCTGGTTTATTTTGGCGGACCCCCTGAAACCTGATTGCGGCCTCCCAGGTGACGTCAGACCCCTGGTTGAGAACTGCTGTTGTGGCTGTTTCCATCACTTCACACCAATTCAGCAGACATTCTGGGCTTCAGAGTGATATTTAGGGTCATTGTTTTGCTGGTTGTGTTCATGTGTGGGTGGCTGTGTTTGATTTATGTCTTGGAGGTTTGTGTTGATTTATGTGGGCGGCTTTAGGGTGCATGGGTGTGACAGTTGGGCCAAGTAATCCACTGTTTGTGCAAGACTTCCTCATACAACTCATGAAACTTTTGCATGCAACTTAGCTCAACCAATCACCACCCTCACTCTACAGTTATCTCTGATATCATAATAGTTTAGGACTCTTGGCATGTCATAGATTCTTGTCTTACAGTATCTGTACACTGCATGAGTGTAATTCATTAAGTCAAAATGGCTGAGAACTAAAAAATTGGAGGGTAGCAGAAAAGAAAACGCAGTGATAATTCAACCTGGTGATATTCTGCACAAAGAGAGTTCTCAGCCATGCTCGTAGCTGCTTCCATCATTTCACACTGACACAATAGACATTTTAGGCTTCAGAGTGACATTCCTGGAATCTTATTATATAGATACGTATATGGGCTTGTCTACATGGAAACAACGCACGGCATGCTAGTGTACTGTTGATTCACAGCCCAACTTTGCTACACACTGAGTCTCCACGTAGTCAAGCTTTGCTTGTTAAAAGCTTGAGTGACATGTGAGTCACCTCTCTCTGAGAGATGCCAGGCCACGTGCTTCTCAAAAAGGGGGCATGAGAAAGTAAACGTTTTAGTTGTTGCTCTTTGACTCTGTTTTGGGTATTACATGCAAATGCCAAGGGCTTCATACACGATCAAATCATTTTATTAGCCACTGCCTTTGCATTAATTGGCACCTGGAGCATCAGAAAAATATCTTGAATAAACCATTGTCTAAAACATGTTCTATGATGCTTCAGCTAACAAAATTGAGATAGAAGCAAAGACTTTAAAGTTTTAATTTGATGATTTGGAAATGGCTGGTACAAAGGAATCATTGCTGGCTTATTATAAACTATCAAGCAAAATTTTTATTTATTGTGTGTGTATATATAGTTATGATTCTAGAAGTTGACCTGCCGAGTGAGTGAGTTTCCTGGTTTTCCTGTACTAGGGCTGCACTTCTAAGTGACATCATCTTAACTTCCCAGCCTCTTATACAATCTTCGAAGTTTTTTGCACTATAGTGCTGTTGTGCATTCTGAGCCCATTATGCTTGACATGCTAATTTCCATAGCAGATGAGATACTTTGTTTTATGATACAAAGTATCTCTTAACTCACTGCACAAGTTCACTTACGCTTTTCAGAATGAAGAAATATATCTCTCTTGAGAAAGGAAATCATTTCTGTAATGGAAACAGTAGCTAGAAATACTCTGTCAGTTAATCAGATGAAAGCTAGATGTTAGTTAGCCTGTAATGGCCTGACTGGTTTCATTTTTCATTTCAGAACTGTTGAGCAACACTGACTTACTGAGTCTCAGTGGAAAGACTCTTCATGTGACATCAGGGTCAGCCCCTGCTTTGATGAATACCCATGATACCCTCCTCTGCCAGTATATCAACTTACAGCTAGTGAATGCAAAACCACAAGGTACGGTATGTAGGATATTTCTCATTTCAGTTACCGGTTTTATCTGCTGTAATTTAAGTTTTGGACAACACTGTTCACTTGAGAGCTATACATATGTTTGGGTTGGTAGTTGGTGTGTTCTACTTATTGTATCCCATATAATAGAAACTTTCTAATGTACAAAGTGGAAGTTGAGTTTTAGTTTTTCCTCACTTTTGAAAAAGGGGAAAAGATAAGTTGAGAGAGGGGATGATGGTCTTATTGGCATTTAAATATGAGTTTCAGAATTGTTCTCCTATTTCTAACTATTGGTTTGCATATGCAAAACTTGTTCTAAAAGGCTACAAGCCTAAAATTGACTTGAAAAGGCCAGCTTCTCTTGTAATGGGATTATCACTGAGTGCATGATGCAGGAATCAAAACCACTGCTTATACACGGATTTAAGAACTAGGGGAATTATTTCATTATCAATCTAGAGATCAAGATGTGTGTATAATTTGGTTTCTTGTTCATTAATCCCATTGTACGCTCATTACTTTGCCTCCAAAAGACTTGCCTTTCCAGTGAAGGGTTTGTTTTAGGCCTGGTTTCTGTGCAAAGAACTGCCCTTATTCCTGCATGGACTCCTTTTGAAGTCACTGGAAATCGGCGTGGGCTGACCCTGGGCAGAAAATAGGACCATGATCAGCAATATATTTGGTGTTTTTCCTTGAGCATTTATGATCTGTACTTCTGTGAAAGAGTAGATCACCTGTGTCACACTGAAATATTTGTTTTCCATAACCCCTCTTCAGCAACTGTGGCCTGCCCATTGTAGGGGAGCTAGTGATTTCCTTTCATTTGTTGATGTGCTCACAGAGTTCAGTGCTTATGGATTTATAGCCCAAAAAGACAACTTTCCAGGGATGACTCTGTGATAGATATTTGTTGTTGTATTTTAGCTTATACATGGGGAAGTGAATGCTATTAAGGAATGCTGTTGAGGAAACAGGTGAGTTGAAGGAACAAGTCCTAAGCTTATGGGTCAAGACAAATGCAAATGTGTAGTATGAGGCAATTTCCTCCGCTCAGATTGCAATAATACACAATTTGTTTCCTTAGAGTGTCTGAAAGGAGTGGTGGGAACTCTTCTAATGGAAAACCCAGTTGGTCAGAATGGACTAACATATCAAGGTCTTCTCTATGAAACAGCAAAAGTGTTTGGTCTCAGGAGCAGGAGGCTAAAATTGTTCCTAGATGAAGCACAAACACAGGGTAAGTTACTTAATGCCTGAGTGTACTGTGGATTTTTTTGCTTATGTACTTTGTTTTTTCTCTTCAACAACAGTGACATATCCTTTTAATTGGATTCCAGTGGATTATTTTAGTTGCCTACAGTCTACATTTCTTTCTAATTATCTTGCCTGACAATTCATTGTTTTCTACTTAGTTTTTAAAATCCTTAGATTAGTATGTAAGTGTTTGCAATATCGGGGCCTTAGTGTGTTAATCAGACTTGAGTGCATCTGATCTGGGGTCTCAAACCTATATTTAATCAGTGTTAAATTTATTTCATCCAAAGTACATCATATACATACCAACAGAGAGTACTTTTCATGTAGTAAAATTTTGCATGAGTAGTGCAGTTACATGCATTGGCTGAAATGGCTAAGAATAGTTCTCTAGGAGCCTCTTCAGTTGAAATTGAAAGGTCAGTCAGTAATGAAAATGTTAGGTATGTACTGATGCGATGAGTAAATTTAAAAAGAAGTCTCTACTTAGAGGAAAAAAATAATTTAAATAGTAGCAGATCAGATTTTGAGAATCTGTTCTGCAGTAAACTGCACATTGTTATAGGACTGGCTTGATTTTTTTCTTTTGGCGAAAGGGAATGGAGGAAAGGAGTATATCAGTATGGCTCAGAGGAGGCATTTCAGAATTGTTGCATAGATTGGAATCCGAGCAAGTGACACTTTTTTACCTGTTATTTTTCATTTTGAACAATTGATTCAGCATTACCCAGTTTAATTCCACCAGCCTGTGCTTTCACAATCATGAAGCACATCTACTGAGTTCATCTATGAGTTGCTCACACTAATGTTCAAAGTAGTCCATTTGAGTCTGTGTTCAGTGTTAATATTTGCTAGTCTTCAAATATTATGAATGCTTTCATTGTATTGAGGTAAGTGTTTGGTTGTATTTGTGCACTTCAGAATCTGTTCTGGGGGAGACCATAACCCCAGAATTGTCTACTTGATGGGTTCTAGTCACTCCAAAATTATCATCTGAGCCAAGATTCAGGATCAGGAACATGATGGGCTTTAGTACAAGGTCATACTAGGTCTTGTTTCATGTGAACCACAAATACTGGTTATCCAAAAGATCTTTTCTTAAGTGAGATGGTTGTGAAATGTTGTAACTGTCCAATGCTAGTTTGAACTCATGCTAAAGATAATTTGCAGATTGATGTTAATGAATATAGAGGAATGAAAATTACCATCATTAAAGCACTGCAGAAGACATAAGAACAGAATATACCCTGCACAGTTTTAATTTGTGTAAATGTAGCTGTATATGAAATCTTGCTGACTAGAGAGAACGCTGTCATTTGGCAGCAGTTGATGTTACACTTCATTGTTAAAACCTCATCTGTCATTGGTTTCTTTCAATGTTATTGCAGGGCAGAAAGATCTCAGTGCAACGAATGATCAGTGTAGCTGCTCAAATAATTATCACAGAGAAAATACTGGCTTGAAATAGTAAAATAAATGAGAAAAACAATGTAATGTACAGTTATCCAGTATTGGAAGGAAAAAAATGAGGAATGATTTTAGACTTTTTTTTTTCTCTGCAGCAAAATATACCAGTACAGTAGCTAGTACATTTTTATAGTATAATTCCTACACAAATGAAAATGGATAGATTTACTCTTAAGGTTAAATAAAGTATAAATTAAGTTAAGGAAAGTCATACCATCCATCGATGGATAAACCATAATTTTTACATAACATGTAAATTTAAAATGTGCTGCAGTTTCTGTAAATACTCTTCTTTAAAGGCTAAAAGCCCTGATTGGAATATTCTCTAAATCATACCTGAGCCCCAAGAAGCATAGTACTTTCATTTGGTTTACAGGCTGATTTGTGTAGCTAACACACTATGTGTGTAATGGTTACAATTCTATTGTCTCGATTCAAGTTCTCACTTTCCTTTTCCCTATTAATATGATGTAATATAGGAAGTGATTTGGCAACACTTTTTATAGTATAAATACACAAATTGAGTTATATTACTCTAATTCTTTTTTATGACATCATTACATTAAATTATCTGCCACAATGAGCCAAGATCAATATCTAGCAAATGTTTTTAGAGAAAATAATTATTTTGGAGTGAATTATATTTTGGGGCTTCTGTAAATTTTTTAGTACAACTATTGGAAATGCATATTTCTGCAATTTTACTTATTTTTTTAACCATCTTTTTATCCATCTATCATTATAGCCACAACTCCTGAAAATGTTTAAAACTTTGAAATGGCAAACAGCAGCTCTGGTATTTCATAGTCTTGGAGAGTCTATTTTTTTTATTAACTCTTTAGGGCTACTTCTAATACAAAATAATAATTTACTCATTGGTAAATAGTTAAAGAACTTGATAAAATATCAGCTGGAATTGTAAAACTGCTGGTGCCAGATGTTGGACTGTTTCTCACAGGCTGAACTGCGTTTTGAAAGTCTTGAAAAACTTTTTTTTTTAATGTTTTTGTGTCAAAGGAAGTGAGGGCATGCAGTTTCTTTTATAATTTTTTCGTTATGGAACTCCTGGAAAAAAATCTCAGAAATAAATGTTAGAATGGTAAGTTTTGCCTAAATAAGGCTTTCAGTTTACACTGATGGGCAAAGTATCTGAGACCTTAGAATTTCAACAGAGCTAGGAAAAGATTACCGTATACAGTTAAATGTTAACAGTTACAGTAAATCCTAATTGAAATATATTTGGTTTAGAACACAAGCCCTATCTAGTGTATTTTTATTTCATATTCCAAATTAAAACTATATTACAATAATAAAGGGGAAGTTTTTTGACTATTTCTTAATGAGGTTATGCATAGAGTAAGGTTACAGTGTACCTTTAACCATGTGATGGTGATAATAAACCCATCTCAAGCAGGTATTATATAATCAATCATGTTCAAAAATAATTTAAAAAAAACTTTGGGACCAAGTTCACAATTTGAGTGACTTAGCAGTGAATTTGGCTTTACTCTGCTTCAGAATAATTCTTTTAAATTATTTTCTTAATGAGAGAATCTTTTTGGGGGGGGGAGGGTGTAAGGGAGCTATTGAGGGGAAGAAGTGTTAATTGCTGAAATGAATTAGTGCCCTGACCTTATACCTTTTGTAATTTGGGTTTAAAATACTTATAATGGAAGTCTGCTCTGAAAAGAGACTGTAAAAATGGCATCATGCAGGTCCATGATTTGTCTTGTTAATTCCATATAAAACTGGCTCAATTTACAAATAAAACATTTTTTAAAGACAGCCCTGCAGAGTCATCCTGGGCTCCGAGTGTTGAGCTTGGTTCTTTTCTTCCTGTGTGTCACCACTGGTAAAACAGAATCGGTATATTAGTTGCTCTGGTGCCACTAATTGTGTTGAGAAAAGCTCCCCCCCTCGAAGGCTAATAGTTACCCAGGTGCACATCTAATTTGACCTGTGGCACCTGTATTACTGATGGTGATGCATGAGAAGGAACGAATCCAGTTTGACTTTCAGCTCCCCGGGCAGTTATCTAAGCAAAAAGTAAATTTTAGTTGTAAAAGAAGCGCATTTGATGTAGACCAAGTGAGAGAGACAAACCGAAAACCCCACAATCACCAACAGAAGTGATGCACCTGTGGAGAATAACTGCCTGGAAAAGGATGGAAATTAGTCTTAAAATCAATTCAGAGACCATAGTTAGTATTTACAGGAGCATAAAGCAATCTTGTTTCATAGATGCAGCAGAGAGATTTGACAGGCTTGGCAATGTTTGTGAAACATCTGGCAAGATCTTCTACCATTCTGCTATCTGAAAGACCTATCCTTAGGTCAGGTAATATGCCTGCTATCTCCAACCCTCCCCTACACTTGGGCCATAGCAAGCCACCACAATGGAAGAGCAGCTCTGAATTGATTTTAAGACTAATTTCCATCCTTTTCCAGGCAGTTATTCTCCACAGGTGCATCATTTCTGTTGGTGACATATATCCTCCTATTGTTCTCTGATAACAAGCACTTCTTACCATTGAATTTTGAAACATGTCCTCCTATCTGTAGAACATTCGTCACCAAATAATCCTTAGAATTCCATGTACATTGTTTGGAAAGAAGATTTAAATGACCAATCTAGCACAGTGTGGAATACATTATTACACCTCTATCTCGATATAACTCTGTCCTTGGGAGCTAAAAAATCTTACCGCGTTATAGGTGAAACCGCGTTATATCGAACTTGCTTTGATCCGCCAGAGTGCACAGCCCCGCCCCCCCAGAGCACTGCTTTACCACGTTATATCCGAATTCGTGTTATATCCGATCACATTATATCGGGGTAGAAGTGTATATTTAACAAGACCGCTACACTAATCTATTTTAGCAATTGTTACTATAATCCCTGCCTTAAGTGTAAAACTCAGCTCTGATTTAGTTGTGGAGTCATGGTCCGTCCGGGAGTGCATAATAAGGCACTTAATTTCATTTGGTGCACCTAGTTTTTCATGGAAACCACCAACCTAGTGCAAAAGTTTGGTGGTTTTCAGTCAGCTTTGGTAATGAGGACCATCCCTGCACTAATATTTTTTGACACCATTTTTAATTGGTCCTAAAAAACTTCCAAAATGTTAACTCTCTAGGCATGCCATCATGTAATGCCATGCTTCATGAAAACGGTGTAAAAAAGTACTGCTGCAGAAGATACATATGGGGTGTGGTGTCACAGTAATCTGAATCAGGTGAAAGCAGCGAAGAGTCCTGTGGCACCTTATAGACTAACAGACATATTGGAGCATGAGCTTTCATGGGTGAATACCCACCTCGTCGGATGCATGTCACCCACGAAAGCTCATGCTCCAATACGTCTGTTAGTCTATAAGATGCCACAGGACTCTTTGCTGCTTTTACAGATCCAGACTAACACGGCTACCCCTCTGATACCTGAATCAGGTGGCTCAATATTATTTTTTCACATCAGAATGGTCTTAAATTCTTTTTCAAACAGGTAAAAATAGCCACTGAATAGTCAGGTGAGTTGTACCTGTGATACTGAGAGAAACTGATGTTCATCCAGGTAGCAGGACAGTGAACGCTGAACATGTATAAAATACAGAATATGAATCTAGCTGGTTTCATCACTGTAATTTTGCCCAGTTGTTGCGTGTAACTTATATTAAGTGTATATTATATTCTTAATCATTCAGAATATTAAATTGCTGCAGCTTTTAGTGTGGGCATTCCTTCTAATGTTCCAGAATTGAAAGCTGTTTAGCTCAGCTGTCTCCTATGCTGAGGAGAATTGTTGTGGTGCGTTTGACTCTAGATGTGGCCTCACTTCACTGCTGCAATACATTCCCTATATGCTCCTGCGAGAGAGGCCCTCTGCCTGTGCAGAGTCCCACTGAGCTTTATAGAACTCCACAGAGAAACAACGGTCCTGCTGTAACGAAGTGGGCTCTGACGGGACACTACTGAGAGTATCAATTCAGGACAAATTGCTTAGAGCAGGGAAGTCAGAGCCAAAAGCTGGGTGTCCTTTATTACTAAGGTGGCACAGAAGAAATTAATCCATCAGACTTCCATGAGACTGTTTTTTCTCTTAGTTTTGGTCACACTAATCCACCTCTCAAGTGCAGAGAGTTAGATAAAATGACATTTTCATTCTTTGTTCTGTGCTGTTTTTGTTTTCACTTCATCTTACAAAAGGAAATGGAAGACAGTGTACCTGTAGCATATGCCTTATTTAGGTATACTTCGCCACATGTATTTATAACTGACTCTTCTATTATTTGTTAAACTCTTTGTTTTTAAATATGTAGCAGGTATTATTTAATGGAAGGAGACTAAAATAAACATCTAAATGTGCTCACGTACGACTCACTTTCACTCTCTGACTACAGATTTTTTTTTTTCCACCTAGTTTTCTCCCACCCCTTTTCTCTTTCTCTGAATGTTGTGTTCTTAGTAGCACTGAGCTCAGCTAAAGCTGCTTGGAGCAGGCAGCCATGTGGAGGAATGAATGTAAACACCTGTCAGAGTATTATGTCTATTGAAAACTTCCCAAATATCCTTGAACACTTTATGCTGCTCAAATAATTTTATTTGGAAGACATCTAGCAGGAGAGGTGATTTTCTATCAGGATGAAGTGAAAAATCTGTACTTCACATGCAGCCCAGTATGCTAACACTCTCTGTTTACGTTAGTATCTATGGATTTGGGAGTCAGGATTTTCTTGTTCTTCCACTGAATGCCACAACCAGCACAGTTCAGAATCTTTAATGCTGCAGAAAGATAAGATGGAGAGAAGCATTTGTGTACCAAAGTCTGAGAGTCGTGGTCGATGAGTTAATATCTTTTACTGGCCCAACTTCTGTTGGTGAAAGAGACAAGCTTTTGAGCTACACAGTTCTAGCACATAAGTGATGAGAGACTAAGAAGAAATAGAAAATGTGGACTTTGGTAACATTTAAGGAATCCTACAATTACATCATGTTGTACTGTAACTTTTTCATAGTGGACTCCTGATCTCATATTATTGCAATGTAACATCTTCTTCTTCCTGTTGTCGTCGTCATCATCCACATAACACTATGAGGCCTTGAAACTGCTGAGGGCTTTGTCCCAGAACATATTTTGGGATGTGTGTGTCCTTCAATCTTAAACTGCATGTTAGCTTTGTTGAAATCATACTAGTACCTTGAAAATGTTGATGAGTGGCAAGCTTAATGTATGCTGATCTCCCCTTTGACTTTATTGCATTATCATGACAGGCTCTGATTTCAGCTGAGGATTTCCTGTCCAAGCATCATTTTGGCTGAGATAAAGAGAACTGGATTATTATTTCAGAATATGGAAATAAGAGTGTTGACAGTGTTCTGTTGTATAGAGATTGCTAATTCTGTTCCATCTTTTCTCTTGCCTTTTGTTCAGAGATTACAAAGGACACCTCCATGAAGACCCTAAATACGAAGACTCTGTATGTTCATGTTATACCAACAACAGCTGAATGCTGAGGATTCCATTTTTATTAATAAGCCCACGTAGACTTTTCCCACAGAAGAGAGATCTGATTCTGATTAGTATGCTTTTTAATGAACATCCAAGTTGTGTACTGTATTTTCAACATCAGCAATTGTACACCGATGATGTTTTCTACCAGTGCATGTGTAATATGCTGCTTTCAGTTTCAAATACAATGTATTTTCGTTGTTATTATAAGATACTATAAAGGCTATTCAGAGTAAAGTCAGATCTTAAGCCTAGATATCTATGCAGTAATTTACCTGAAAGAAATGGACTCATACCTCAGTGATGCCGTTCTCTGCCTGTTCTTTATGCAGAGGCCATCTTCAATTTTCTAAGCCGTGTCTCCAAGGGTGTGTTGTTACAGCTTTGAAACTAATTAGGGAAGAGTTACCCAGTTCTGTGCATTCACACTAGTTGGGTTTTAATGAAGTGTGGTGTTGATGAAAATACTTCCTAATTTCCATACTTTGGAACAATAAATTTTCTTTATCTCCAAAACAGTGTTTTCCTAATTGGGTGGTAATTCACTTCCCTACATCCTTAAAGAAGATTGTACTTTGTTTCCTTTGGGATCAGCAAAATCTAAAGAAAACATGAAACTTGTACAGTTTGTCTAAGTGGATGTTATGGATGGTTAGGTTGTACAATTTGCAAAACATTCTTGTTTTTAGTTTTGTTTACAGTATTCTGCTTGATAACCCAAACGACTAAAACCCTTAATTCATGAACTTTCCTAGGGTCCAAAGAGGGAAGAGAACAAATAAATCAGACTATTTGATCTTATCAAATTGACACTTGATTTGATACAGGTTCCTTTTAGAGATGTGATATGGTATTGGAGTCTGTACTCACTATGAAACACTGGCATAAAAGTTACCTTCACTGTTTTACCTCTCTTAGTTTTTGAAGACAGCTAAGTAAATTGGAAACAGGAATGATTATAGCAAAAGACATCTTATATTAGTTAAAAAATACCTCTCCATTGCTCTACATCCTTATGCTCCATTGCTTTCTCATCTTTATGCTAAATGTAGATATAAAACAAAATTGAATGGTGTTTTTCACAATATCAAATATAAATATCACTTTTATTATGCTTGCTTACTGTTCTTCAGTGAGATACACAGTTCACTTGAAGTGGAGCAAGTTTCTAGCATGTAGCTACATACGTGTATTTGCCTGTAGTGTGATGAAGCCCTTTCTGAAAATCTGTATCTCCTGAAATACTGGGAATGCACAGTTCTAGAAGTATTGGACAGTGCCAAGTTATTTTCCCGTAAACCATGCTTATCTCTTGATTTAGTCACATGAAAATCAAATAAGGCTTCATCTATTGCCATCTGTCCTTGCACTTGAAATAATGTGTTCGGGATTATACTTTCTGTGAAGATGAAACTGTTGATCTACAGCTAATGACTTTGCTTTGCATGTTTACAGAAAGTAAATAAAAGCAGAGTAAAAACTGAAATAAAAATCTTAATAATGAGACGAGAAATCCATTTTAATGAGGATATTGAAACAGAGAACACAATTATCTGCATCTTAGAGTTGCTTGGGATTTAGTCACACAAATCTTATTAGTGGATGATGGATGGCTACGTCCTGCACATCTCTTAAAAAAACCTGGGATATGAACTGAAGTCAGAATCTGAGTTACCAGTAGAAAAAAGTCAAAATCTCTCAGAATCTTTACCCTTTCTCAAAGTATGCACAATGCTGCTTCATGCCAAAAATGCAATCCACCCTGCAGCAAAGGAATACCTTCTATGGGCTAAGTCTGATGATCTCCCAATTGTATCCAGTAAAATGTAGCCAAAATAGGCTTCCTAGATAAGCAGCTGGTATATTCTGCAGATGAAAATAAAACAGCTGCTTTCCCCTTCATTAAATACCAGTCTTCACTACAAAGGCTATTTGCAAAAGTACAGAACCTATGTTACACTGTTAAAAGTAATGCTTGTTGATACTCCAATAAAAAAAAAGAATATATTTGGCGATAAATAGTTTGGGTAAGTTATTTACTCTGTAGGGATGAAGGAGGAATGTTGACGTGTTTGTATTAACACATGAATCATCTGCATGTGTCTATTACATATTTTTACAAGAATGTTTACTGCAGAAAGCATGTACCCTGACTGACTGTCACAGCACTAGCTGAAAGCTAAGTTAGTAATGACAACCCTCTCTGAATGTGCATCTCAATATGTGCTTCCATTGAAGTCAAAGAAGAACTCTCATTGACTTCAATGGGAGAGCACTTCTAGAAAAAACTCACCCTTAATGCTTCCCCGCTCCCACCTCCTTTCCTGTGAGGCACAGGAAAGCAATTTCTCCATTAGTGAGGACAAATTGGGAGGGAGGTTCTGGAACATCATTGGATTTTTTTCTCACATTAATAGTAATATTTGCACTTTGTTATCAAATTGCTGTACAAATATTACCTGATCATGTTCAGTGCTCCTGCATGATGTATTGGGCCTGTTTACAGACAAGTTTACTGAGCTAGAGAGAGAGAGCAACTGCTTTGCTTAATAGTGCCCAAATCAGGACTGGAACACAGCAATAAGTCCCTGATGTTAGGCTACAAATCAAGAAGAGGAGCCTCCATGGGTCCTCAGGAGCAGAGTCTGACCAGAATTGGTTAGAGAAGATGGTCCAAGAAGGCAGAGACTCTGAGCAGTGCCAGTATTTGTGTATATTAATTGCATTTTCAGGTGGCACTAAAGTGGGAGGCATTGCAAATATGCTTGAGAAGAGAGAAATGAAACAAATAGCCCTAAACATAGACAGGAAGTAATAAAAATGAGACTGAACATAGAATAATGCAACCTACCATCTGGAAAAATAATCTAAAATCCAGATCTATGAGAGAGGGAAGAAGCAGGAAAGCAGTTACTCTGAGAGAAGTGGACAGTGTTAGATGTAAGAAGGTAATAGTTACTGTGTTTCCAGTAGCATCTCAATGTGCTGTACAGACATAAGAAAACGTTCCTGACCTAAGAGTTGGTAGTCTAAAATTTGACAAAAAGGACAAGGCAATTTTGGACTGCTTATGTAGAGGCAACACAATACAACGTTGGTGTAACTGAACCTGGAATTTAACTGGTTTTTTTTTTTTTTTTTTTGGACACATGATTAACAGAAAGATATTGACAAACTGAAGGCAATGCAGTGATGAGCAAAAATTGATTTCTTTGGTTCTATTTTCATAAGGGATATAAACCCTCATCATTCAGGGTGTAAACAAACCACTAATTGGGGTGAGGAAGAAATTTCCCCATGGCAAGTTATTACATAATTGCCTGCTATGGGGTTTCTTGTTGCTTTCTCTAAAGAATTTGATGCTGCTCACTGTCAGAGACCGAACTGGAGGAGGTGGGCCATTTGTCTGATCCAATATAGAAATTGCTGTGTACCTGGAAGTTCACAAATGGTACAAGGCAAATTACGTACAACTAGATGAAATTTAAATAAGAAATATGGGTTGAATATTGGGAAAATGTCTTGACAGAGATATATTATGCTACAGAACAATTCCTCAATGAGAACTTGTAGAAATACCCCTCAATGGACTCTTTCTTTTGACTTCTGTAAGCTTTGATTCAGACACTTGGGGGGGAGATAGCTCAGTGGCTTGAGCATTGGCCTGCTAAACCCAGGGTTGTGAGTTCAATCCTTGAGGGGGCCACCTAGGGATCTGGGGCAAAATCAGTAGTTGGTCCTGCTAGTGAAGGCAGGGGGCTGGACTCGATGACCTTTCAAGGTCCCTTCTAGTTCTATGAGATAGGAAATCTCCATTAATTTAATTAAAACTGGACAAGACAAATTACTAGAAGAAGCTAAATCCTGCATTGGTAGGGAGATATGCTGGAGAGCTGTTTCCCTCTGTCTTGTTTTGTTGTGTTTAAAGTGAAAATTACTTTTCCCCCTCCCAGCTTTTGGTTTGCCTTAACATAGTGTTACCTAGTCTTATTTTTTCCCTTTAGTATAATGCATTATGTATTCCCAAATATGTGTTTGAAGTAAATGTTATCACCCTTCGAATGGCATGAGACAGTACATCTAGTTTCCGTCACTATGCTAATTGGGATCACTGAAAGTCTGAGTGTCTCTTGTTTCAAGTGGCAGCATGGCACAACGGATCATCTTTCAAGCAAGTGCAAGTCTGTTCTCCATGTCAAGGAGCATATTCAACTAACAATTTGAGTTTTGCCTTTAGATAAGTTGCCTGCATAACTCCTTCACTGCACTCTGCTGTTTTTCTCCATATAAAGGTTGTGCTTAAATATAAAAGAAGGGCTGTGCTGAAAAGAACCAAAGTTAAAGCTGCAATTTCCTCAAATAATTTGCTCTCATTGAGCTTTTTTAAAGTACTGATCTTCCAAAGAGAACTGTGGGTGGGCTTTGCATGGGTGCAGGGCTCCACCCATGTGGTTCTTTTTCCAGGACTAGTGTCTTAATTTGCACAGTGCCATAAATATAATAGTATTCCCTATCTTCTCCCCCCTTTCTCTCTCTTTATTTTTCTCCATTGTATCACCCACGTATTCTTCCCTTTCTCTCTGTTTATTGCGTCCTTCCCTACTAGTCCTTTTAGTGGCTCAGCCATGTTCTCATATCTGTATCCTATCCTCCTCCAGAGCTGTGATTGGATGGAAGAGAAATTGTGGTCTCTCCAGCTACAGGTGATTTTGACCTTAAATGCTGGTGCTGTGGTTCAGTCAGGATCAGTCATCGTTCACAGTGGAACCCACCCATCCACCCAGGGCAGGTAGTCAGTGCAAGAATAAGACAATGGACTAAGCCAGAGTTTTTTCACATGGCACTATTGAGCATGATTGCTAGGTCCCCAGATTACTTTGGCCTCCCTTTTTTATGCATATTAGTGTTGTGTAATTAACAAATGAGGATTAGTATACAAGTTCAACTTTTGGCTGCTGCAGTGTTAGCTCATCAAGTTCCCATATCTATAAAACTTACTGTAAGAAATCATTGGGAACAAGCAGTGACCCTTTGGGTTGAACTCTTTTTATTTCCCTTTCCATTTTTAGTCATCATTTCCCCCAGGGTACTCTCTAATTATTTCTTCAGCGATCTTGTCTCATGGGCTTTCATGAAATGTGGAAAGTTTCCTACTTACTTTTTTTAAATTAGTTTTTCTTTCATTTTTGTGCCTGCTGTCTTGCTGTTTCATCTAGATTAAGCTAAAAATACTTGCTTGACTTGATGTGATACTCTTTAGGATTTATGTACTTCAATTGACTTCCCTCTTAACTGTCTTTTGTTGTATAATTTAGGTCCTGGGCCATTTTGATGTAATGCTAAGAGGCATCTGCAGAAGCCTGTATCAAGTGCTGAGCATGTCCTTACTTTAAGAGTTTATATCTTCCAGTCCTGGCAACAATCCCCTGACTTTTCTCTCTCACTTTTTAACTGATGACAGTAATACAGCATCCCATCTTTCTCATCTCACTGAAATAGAAGTTCCTTTCAGCAATCTGCAAGAGCTGATCTCTGCTGAGCAAGCCCTTTATTGCTGGGGAGCTTTAGGTAGTGTAATAAAATAGATTTATCATTGCAACTGTGTCCAAAATCATGGTAATGTGGTTTAAACAAGTGAAAGGGTGGACACTTATATTTTAAAATGTCAATATTTTTCTTCTATACAACTCCCTCTTCCCTGATCTCATGGCCACTGTGTACCTAATGGCTCACGCTAACTCCTCCTGCAGTCAGTGGGAGTTGGATTGGGCCGTAAGAGTGGGTTGTATCCAAACAATTCCTACCAGAGAGGTGTCTACTCCACAAAATCCACCACAATTGGCACCCTTGTTGGCACACATAGCAGAGGGGCCAACAACTGAATGCACAGACAGCTACAGTGGCACAGGAGTCAGCAAACAGAGCTGTAAACAGGGGAGTTTGAGTGGGAGTTTGCAAGGGAAGTTTGGGGGAAGAC